CCATCCATCCATCCATCCATCCATCCATCCATCCATCCATCCATCCATCCATCCATCCATCCATCCATCCTGCTTATCCCAAACGGGGTCGCAAGAGATAGAAGCAAAAAATCCAAAATACTGAGAAATAAAAAAATCAGATCACGTGGGGATCCAGAGACGAGGAAGCAACAAATCAACAAAAAACAGCACTGACTGACTGCAGAGGTGGTGTATATATGGGGAAGAGAACAAAGGATGGGCTAATGAGCTGAATATGGAGCAGGTGTGAGTAGAACTAACTAGAGCGAAGCAAGGGGAAAAGAAACAAGCACAAGGGGGCAACAACTACTGTAAACACTGCTAGAAAACAACTACAAAGAAACTAAAAATAAACTTAAACAGAGGGCAGAACCCTGACGGTCAGATTTCACATTACATTTCCAATTATTATATTTATGAGCTCAGGGTGGATCCTTTCCTAAATGCAATCTTACTCAGGGGAGGATATTCATTTATTGATTTTGATGGTAGTTTTCTTTTGTTATTGCCATGAAAGGTAAGGTTCCTCTTCTGAATCAGTTTTCTCTGAGAAGCATAAGGGTTTTAAGCCAGCAATAACACATATTTGGAACTGTTCATTATTCCCCCAACTTGATTAAGGCTGCTTTGGGTAAAGAGTTACAGTCCCAGGGCATAATGCTGCCACTGTCATGCCTTGTGAGTTTTCTGCCAAACTGGTGTTGTGCAGCGTTGCATTTGAACCAAACATACAAGTTAGAAGTCATGTATTACTGTTATTATTTTAGTCCAAATTCCTTAAAATGTTTTGTACTCCTGTCTGGTATCTTTGGACACAGATTTCTCAGATGCTTTGGAAGCTCTATAGGTACCATCTATTTTGCTGTGAGATGGAACCTACAAAAATACCTAAACTTTGTTTTGAGGTAAATTAATCTGATGTGCCTTAAATGATCTAACTAAATACTGATTTGTTTGCTTTTAAACATGATTTTTATCATTCTTCATTCTGAACTCATAAGAGGGTGGGACATTTATATATAACCACTGGTATTTGGTTTTTCCTCCTCACAGATTTTACTTTGAATTGAAAGTTACCTGTGCAGATTTTATGTCACATTAAGGGTGAAAATATGCATACTTACTGTATACTGGCTATTAGAGGGTGATTTTTTTTTTAACCCTTTTTGCACTTCATGGTCAGTTTTCATCCTTTTATGGTTGTTTTTTCATCTCAGAAAAGGTCACATTGTTACCCTCATCTCATGTTGTTCATTTCAGGACATGTCTTTAGGAAAATAGGGAAGCAGCTTTTCACCTACTGAAATGAACAAACAGTTAACCATTGTCATTTTACCACATTAATAACTGTGTAATATAAGAAACTAAAAACTCAAGAAGACAAAGAGCTGAACATTTGGTTGTAAAATTCAAATTCCAAACAGTATTTTGATAACCGTCACTAAAAATGATCAGGTTCTTATGCATTGATTGTTTACATTTATTTAGTGATGCTTGTCAGAACAGTATAAAACAATAGGTTTGATTAAGTTTCTTTCAGTAACATGCGGAATATTTTAAATGTATTTCTGTTAACTATGTTTGCATAAAAAGAAACAAATACGGGTTGCTTGGTAATTAGAAAAATAGAGGGACGATGAACAGAATGTTTACCGTGATGTCTATCTATGGTGCTGTATGTGCACCCAATAATTGTTTAGATCCTCTTTTACATGGATTACTGCATCAGCAATGTGGCGTGGATCCGCCTACGGTTCTGCTGAGGTGAGATGAAGGCCCAGGAAGTGCTAAGCAGCCATAGATTTTATTTTTCTTCTTACCTCACCATCTAACCCTAACCAAATAGGGGTTTTCATAACTTGTAAATATTACTTGAAATTAACATAATATTGCTATATGTGGATGATTCTATAAAGGTCTCATTTTCTAACATTGATTGTTTATATTCATAATGATGCATCTGTATGACATCAGTTTGTGTTAAATGTGAACTAAAACTAATTGTTAGAATATAACTAAATATCTTGTTTAAACAGGTATTTAAAAAAAAATCAATAAAATAAAGACTTGTGTTTCCTTAAAATCTACTGGTCGTAAGTAAAGCAGATTTCCTGACATCATAGCAAATTGAAAGAAATAATCAACATCGGTACACAGCATGAAACAACTCAGTAAAATACATTTATTGACCAAAAAAGGTTGTCTTTTAATTTTACACACAAAAATATCAAAATACTTTACAGGGCTTTGAAATATTGTCAATTTGTTTCTTTCAGTTCTGTCCAACAAATTCACTGTACAACGATGTCGACGTGCTTTGCTTCCTATAATTCAGTGCTCATTTCATTTTTTTTCCTTTCTTAATTCAGGGAACAATGCATTTTATATGATGCATAGTTATCACTTGGTATTTAGCTATACATTTGAAGAGACATCTCTGAATTTCATGCAATTCATATCCTAATAGCTGAAGTCTCATCTAGAGCCAGGTGCTTAAATGTTGCAATACATAAAAGATACACAGTACGACATTCATAACATGAATATGTTACCAATACCTCAAAGCTTAAAAGGAATGAATGTGTTCTTACACAAACATATTGAACTTTACAAGTCTTACCCCAACGGCATTTAAAATAATAATAAAACAAATGTAAAAAAAAAAACAATTTACATTTGGGCTCAAAAGGCCCCAGTGCAACATGACAGAGAAACCGCTTCAGGAAACCTTTGCTCCACTCTTTGAGTCCAAACATTTTCAAGGCTCAGAGGAAGATCATTTAAATGACAGACCTCCATCTCGCAGTCATCATAATTAACATCTGTCACTGCTACAGGTACACAAAGTGCCTGGCAAAAGTATTCAGATCCTTAAACGTTTTTACGTTTCATTGTGTTACAACCACAGACCTTCATGTTTTAATGAAGATTTCAATGCTACTGACCAACACAAAGCTGCATTTTATTAAATGGAAAGAATATGAGTCAGTTAATAATTCTGTTTTGCACAAAAAAAAACAGCTGAAAAGTGTGGCATGCAATTATTTTCCCTGCTGATTAATAGGAAAAAACTTACTCAAAGTAAACATATTGGTAGATAGGTGCTGGTCTATAGGTGAGCAGTTTTAAGTAAGTCTCTGAGGGTTTGTCAAAGAACATAGAAAAAAAAAAAAACTTACTGAAGACCGAGGAGCACAGCTTAAATTTAAAACTCGGTTTAGGCTTGATGCGGCAGCGAAGTCCGCACAGCCAGATTGTCGTTTTGGGCCTTAACGCCCCTCCGTGTGGAATCTGTGCTGACAGAATTTCCACACGGAGCACCTAGGTAAGTTTGTAACTATGTGGAGAGGGTTTGCAAATGTAAACGTCTGGAGACATCCTGTGATTTAGCTCATAAATATCATCACTATTAACAGATTGTGGAAAAACTCCAGGGCAGAAATCGCCAAGGCTCTAAAACAGCACAGAGAAGCTTTGATAAAGTTGCAAAAAGCTGTATTTACTACCTCCTCCAGTAGTGGTGTGGTCCTTTAGGGGGGGGAAAGTTTTGAAGAGATTTTAGTTCTAAATAAAATATTCAAAGCTTTGAAAATCTCACAGACCTTTGTTCAATCCATTATCTGAAGAGGGCACTTATCCACATAAACTTACAGGAGGGGGCAGCTGAGAGGTTCAAGCTAATGCTGGGAGAGCTGCAGAGATTTACAGCTCAGGCAGGGCAGGCAGTTCAACTAATATTCACAAAAAAGCCAAAACTTTGATGCTCCAAATGAAAAAGAAAATATTTTAAAAAGAAAAATGGACAAGAATGTTTGTCTTTAGATGAACAAAACAGGTTTCCTCCAAAACACCAGTCGATTTAACCGGAAGAAAAAGCCGGTTCTACACAGCATTAACTCAAAGGGTCAGAATAGAAATGCATGCCAGACATTTTTCAGATTGCTTAATGAGTAATTAAATAAATTAAACAATTAATTCTTTCCGTCTACATTACACTGGTGCAATACTTTGTGTTGATCTATCGAAAAAACAAAGAAAAAAATTAGTTTTGCTAGTGAATTCAGATAATCTGATAAAGTTCAAGAGGAAAGAATATTTTTACAAGGCACTGTCTCTCTAAGTAGAAAGTTGCTTGATTCTTTGAAATAAGCCAAACTATAACAGTTTGCAAACAGAACCATTAGGAAACTAAATACAAAGGAAACAGGATCTTTTGGTAAAACGAAAAACAGGCTACACTTGAAGAATCAAGAGTGGAGGGAGAAGGTCGGCCCCTAAGTTGGGGTTTCACTGTCGTCTCAGTGCTGATAACAGTCACATTACGCATCAAACTCTGCTGTATTGAGAGCTCAACTCTTTCCTATGACTGCAACATGTGCTACAAATCATCGTTTCTCAGTCTTCTGAAGCACAACAATAAACTTAAGAGCTCTGAATCTGAACACAAAAGTCACAATAGAAAAATGATTTGACACTTTAACGTTATTCACACATTTAAAGTAGAAATGAGTCTAAGAAGTTTATTTAGAAACAAACCATTAAAAAAAACCCTTTCCATGTGCCAGAGATAAAAACAAAACCCATCAAAGACGAGAGGACGGGGCAGGGCCTGTGGGCCCCTCCCCGTAGATCTACCCCTTACTCATTAAGGCATTATCTATCCAGTATTGCTAAAAGAAGAGCTAGTTAAGAGTTATCCATGTGGGAAGGTAACACAAAGAACTTCAGGACAAGAGTGCAAAATACAAGTCATAAACCTCTTCAGTCTGTGGTGGCCTACTAAACGTCCTTAAGTCTGAACATGCAAAGTGCACATTCGTTCAGGAAAAACGACTTCCGTTCCAAATGTTTGGTTTCATCTGCTTAATCTCGACAGCAACTAGAATTATATAAAAGATGGCAGGAACTCTAATGGGATGGAACAAAAGCCGTTACCACCTACGATTGACGGCCAGTCTTTTTACATTAAAATGAGTGAACAGCGCAGCTTTTTTAGGGAGGCCGTTCCTATCCACTAAAGGCTGCTGCACAAAATCAAACCGGAGGACAGCGGGCGGAAAGTTTGAGGTAATAACTAGCTTCATGGAGAAACACCACAGACGACACACCAACTTGACTACATCTTATACTTTATAAGTGCCAGCGAGATGCTGAAAGGTTCAAAGGATGCAGAAGGAACTGAAAAAAACAAAACAAAACAGGAAGACGAAATATATATGGAGGAAGACAGCTGAGGTTCCTAGAAGTGTCAGAAGTCTGTTTTCCTCGCAGGCTGGAGAAGTCAGAGCCAGTCTCTAGACCTTCAGATCAAACGTCACAAAAAGGAGCTCATCTAGCTCCTGCAGCCATGAGCTTCATAAGCAGCCCCTATTGGTTGAGCTAACAAATTAGTGCAATTTAAAGAAGAGACCACCATAATCATGCTCTCTAAAAGCTGCCTAAATAAAGAAAAGAAAAAAGGAAAAAAACATTGAACCCTTTGATATTAAAAGGCTTTGAAACACAAAACTTCACCTTAATGTCACGTTTTACATTCATATAAGTTTGTCAGAAGACGATGACAGAAGACGGAGAGTCTAGTAAGTCCAGATCTTCACAGAAATCCGCGACTGCGGCAGGATGTTGTCATCCGAACTGGACAAGAAGCTACGGGATCATCCATTCTTGTCTCCTGGCTTCTCTCCTGTCTGAGGGGAAAAAAACATCAGGATGTTGTTACATATGTCTCTTTTTTCAGCCACAATTTCCCCATTGTGGGACAATAAAGGGATTTTCTATTCTATTTTTAATTCTAAAGTGCTTCTTTTTGGAGTGTTTTATCAGTCTAAAGTCTGATAAAACACCTAAAACTGCTGTTTAACCTTTTATTTTCTATTCGTGAACATTAGACAAGGTATTGATACATTTCAAAACAACAACTATGAAGAGAAATATTGGAGGCATGCTACCTCCTCCTCTTAACTGGCTATATATTTAAGGCTTGTATTCCTTGTATTGAGAAATGATCCTCCATCTTTGTCTCAAGCTCTCTGGAGAAACAAACAGCTTTTCTTTCAGGAGTTTTATGTATTTACATGGTGCTGCTACCACCATGTTCCAGCACAAGGAGGGAAATGTGAAGTGTTATCCACAAATAGAGCTTAGTATACAGGCCAAGATGTCTCATCTGATTAGAGCAGCTTCTTTCAAATGTCTGCTGTGTAATTCACCCCTATGAGCGTTTCTTGGTCTTCGTGGGGTTGATTGTTAACTAACTTTTGATTTGATTTTATATACTCTAATAATCCCAGAGGGAAATTACTTTTCTGCATTTAACCCATCCCCTTGGGGAGCAGTGGGCTGCCATTGTGAGGCGGTACCTGGGGAGCAGTGTGGGGTTAAGGGTCTTGCTCAGGGATCCAGAGTGGCAGTCTGTGGGAGTGGGGGGTCGAACTCACAACCTCAGGATTCAAAGCCCTATGCCCTAATCACTAGGATGCCACTATCCCTAATATTCCCTATTAAATCCTTGAAGTCTTCAAAGAACAGCAGAACAATAAAAATAAATTCCCTCAACTGGACTCTGATAATTGACAGCGTGACTTCTAAAGGCAACTGGATGAACTGGATATTATTTAGAGGCCTCAGATTTAATGAACTAAAGCCAAAAGAAACAAAGATTAATGTAGCATTTTAAATTTTAGAGCAGGAGATTCAATTATTTTTTCATTGATTTAATGATGGTGTGTCTACTTCTGGTTCCTTTTACTTAGAGAGCATTAAACTTGTTGGAAGGTGGAGCTCTTTACTTAGAACACAAAAACAAAAAGCACTAAAATGTGTTTTATCATATACTGCCCTGAGCAGAGATGGGAAGTAACGAAGTACAAATACTTCGTTACTGTACTCAAGTAGATTTTTCTGATATTTTTACTTTACTTTACTACTTATTTTTATGGCGACTTTTTACTTCTACTCCTTACATTTTTACACAAATATCTGTACTTTCTACTCCTTACATTTAAAAAAATTGGGTCGTTACTTTAGTTTTGAACCATTTCAATGGAGTTACCATTATTATTTTTCACGTCATCAATACCAAATTCAATCTAATTGGATGGGAATCTACGTTGCATTTGACGCACCACTACAAGATGAATCGACAGATTCGGCGGTATTCATTCGCGGCAAATCATTGCAGCTTGGTGGCGGTGGCGTTAGCATAGTAGTATGGACGACGAGATGATTGAAAATGAACACAATGGAGATCTAGTCCTATTGGCAGACATCCATTTAAAATGTAGGCAACGGCATGAAAAAAGTGGTTACTACTTTTACTTTAATACTTTAAGTAAATTTACAAGCCTGTACTTTGTTACTTTTACTTGAGTAAAGAAGTTTAATCAGTACTTCCACTTTTACCAGAGTATTTTTTAACACAAGTATCTGTACTTTTACTCAAGTACGGAAAGTGAGTACTTTTGCCATCTCTGGCCCTGAGTAAAAGTGCAGGTAATAATAAGTTAAATGATCCCTCTGAATAAACCATCTGCTATCTGTAAATATGGACCGTCGAAAGTAGAAGGAAAGGAAATAAAGGCAAAAGGAGGAAATAGAGGACATAAGTGAGAAAACAAGGAAGTTTGGAAGAAATAAGGTGGATAAAAAGGGAGGAAATGAGGAATGAAAGCTATACATGAATGGAGGGAAAGAAAAAAGAAGGGTGCAGGGAAGAAAGGATAAAACATTCAGACAGAGTGATAAACTGCCGAGGAACCCTGACTGATAAAGAGCTTACTCTATGTCAGAAAGACATTAAGACAAGATATCCCTAACTTCACATAACCTTACAAAAGAACCCAAACAATGTTTCAAGCAAACAGATGAGCTGAGGCGTCTGTAGTTTGAATTCTGTAAAAATCAGGATCAAACAAATCCAGCAGTAGCAGGTGAAGTCTTAAAATTTAAACAGTATTTAGTATAAATTGTAGACAAGTATATTAACTAAAACCCTGATGGGTTGGGCCGTTTTTAGTTGCTCTCAGTACGAGCAGCGTGTTTCTGAGCACAGCTAGGAATCCTGCAGCGACACTCACCCCGGGTTTGTGGAGCACGTTGTCCTGCAGTCCAAAGAGACCACCTCCTGGACCGCCCTGCAGGGGAGATGCTGTCGCTGAGGACAGCAGGTTGGGCGACTGGGAGATCATGGGTGAGTTAGGGGCTGAGCTGAGCGCTCCGGCCAGCGTGAGGCGCTGCAGCTCCCTCTGTCTCTGTTGATGCAGCATCTGGTAGATCACTGCCTGCTGCTCCTGGAGGAAGAGGAGACCACTGCAGTTTACTGATCTGTGCTCAGAAGTGAAAAAAAACAAAACACTTTCAATGATCAGTGAGGTCAGTGGCCAGGTTAGAAACGAAGGTTACCATAATTAAAAGAGAGAGCGCAGTAACAAACTGCAGAATTAAAATAGACCTAAAACTTTTGCTCTAAATCCACTTAAGTGTGTCTGTTTCTCTGTGTTCTCTTTTTAGATGCACTGTAAAGCTAAACAGTAACAACCTTAAAATAGGATCTGTTTTTCCTTCTCTTTTGACTGAACAAAAATGAAAGTCTTCACTCTTCCTATTGAAGCAGCAACCAAACTTCATAGTCACACAGGAAATAAAATGGTTTCTATAATTAGAGAGTGTCAAAGAGCATTACTGTCAAACGGCTGGCAGATTTTCAAAAGTTTGCAAGTCAAATAAGGGTTGCTGCATCTCTAGGGTGAAAAAATGCTCAATATAGGAGGAGAGAGCTGCTCTTAGTGCTCCACTCCTTCACTGTGCAACTTCCTGGTGTTTGGTTTGCTAATTCTGTCACTGTCAACCCGCATTCAATGACAACAATTAAATAAAGAGGGTTTGTAAACTGAGGCCAGTAAGAAGCAGACAATAGAAGTAGCTCTGCAAGTTCAATGCTGCAGCTGAGTTAACAAGTGAGCGTCACCAGGTTCTTTGTTTGTAATAAAGCTGAATGTTTCATTCATTCATAAAGCTGCATCCAACAGAACAATGCTCAGACTGAGACCATATAGTCCAGAGCGGATTTTTCCCTTCAAATTTTAAATGTTGTGTTTCCATGCATTCAATAATAAATGGTAAAAATGAAATAGTGATCATTCATCAAAACATAAAGTAAATACCATTATTGATGTGACAGTAACAGCTAGGGATGTCTGATAAAACCTTTTCATTTCCGATACAATACAGATATTGACTCAATACGATATCAGCATGGATCAGACATATTTTTATTACTTATTTTGTAGCATGGAATGTTAGAAAATACTTGATAAAGTGATATTACACTAACAGTCAACATCTGTAGGTATGAGAACAACTGACCCATTTATCATTTACAGATGGGTACAATAAGCTTTAAACAGAGGTGAAGACTTTCTATCAGCATGCTGAAATCAGAGATTTTAGATGCAGGCCTATATATTCAGACACTAGTTTTATGTCTGAAAATTATGTCTGATCAATATTGCATTGAGAAATGACATACTTTAGCTTCAGTGAGAAAATATTTCCAGACCAAGGCATACTGCACAACTATTAACCATGGCTTTCTTTACATCTTGGGCACCTGCATCGATCACACATGAAGCTTTTCACAGAAATTATCAGGAGATTTACAAGCAGACCAGCAACAAACTGATAAAAGAGACCAACACATAGAGCCTTACTAACACCTTTCTAACACACAGAGCCTACCTGCATCCCTAAACCAACAACCTAAGAACACTCCCCTCCTCTACTGAATGTACTTAACCCAAAAGAAGATGTTGTTTGGGTATTCAGCATCTGAAGGTTAATAAGGTACCTGTGTCTCCCCTATCCAGCTCTGAAAACCTCAGCTGACCAGCTAACGTGCATTTTTACCATATCTCTGGAGTAGTGTGAGGTTCTCTGTTTTAAGGGGCCTTTATCACACAAAACCAATTTTTTGACCTTTAAAATATGTTATATTGCTCTCCCTTCCTCTATGTTATGCCCAAATCCTTATAAATTGTGCTCCCTGAGGAGCAACCATCTTCTTGAAAAAGTCGTCTTTGCTGTCCTATGTAGGAAGGTTTTAAACTGCCCCCATCCAAGAGGCACTAGTCTTGACCGTGCCACACTCCGACAGGAAACAAACACCCACCTTCTCACAAAGCAGCATTGTGAGCCAGAGCAGGATCATTTCTTCTCAAAGCTGAGACTTTTAGCACCCAAACTGCATAGTGACAGCAATTGATCTTTTGTTAGCTAATACCCAAGTTGATAATATGTGTTTTACGGCTGCAAGAAGTCTTGGACTGTTCAACTTTTGTAAAGATGAGCCTGAATCACCAGAAGAAATGTAATACAGTGACATGGTAAGGGTTGGCATCCAGACAGAGAGACACCTTCGCATTACATTGTGTCGTCAAGCTGCAGGGATTGCTGTAGAGTTAACAACAAAATGCATGCACATTCAGAAGGTATGTATCCTCCAAAGTCAGTGACCCAATGTGATTGACTGGTTTTCCTTAGAAAACTTTGGACGAACCTGATTGTATGATCTAACTGAATTGTCTCTGTAAAGTGCCTTGAGATTTATATGTTGTGTGAATTGGTGCTGCTGACTTAGCAAACTTGACGGGTTAATTGGCAACTTTTTTTGTGGTTAGGGCATAGAGCTTGGAATCCTGAGGTTCTGAGTTCAAGTCCTACTCCCACAGACTGCCGCTCTGGGTCTCTGAGCAAAGACCCTTAACCCCCAAACTGCTCCCCGGGCCCTGCCTGATGGCAGCCCACTGCTTCCCAAGGGAATGGGTTAAATGCTAACGTACATTTCTCAAATATGAGATTAATAAAGTATAATATAATATAATTTATATTACAAAGGAAAAGATGGGGGCAGAAACTGGCACGATTGTCTTGCCATGTAAACCAGCCTTATATAAAGAAGTACAAGATAAGGTGATAAGAATAGAGCCACTACCGTTGTGAAGTTGTGTGAGGCGAGGAACTGCTGGAATTGCTGCTGTTGCTCGAGAAGAAGCTGCTTCTGCTGCTCAGTCAGATGAGAAGACCTGGAACAAATGTTGACACCAGGTCACAGCTCAGAAAATTACACGTTTGGTGGAATAAATTTGAAATCTATCAATATACAGATAAAAATAAAATAAAAACATATAGTAAACATCCCCAGTCAAGTACGCCAAAAGATCAGGAGTTAAAGAGTACAAAGTTTTGTGAATAGGTTCAGTTTTCGAAACTTGTCAGATTAAAAGGAAGAAATCTTTAAAGTTTTTCCATTAGAATTGCATGTGAAAGAGCAACAGTGCAACATCTTACGATGGTGAGAACACAGGTAAATATTGTGATGAGAATGTCTGGCCTATTCCCTTCTTTCCTCCCACTTCCTCCCTTCTTTCACTCCATCACTCTTGTGACCTTCAGCATTTTGGGAAATGTCATTCGTTTCCGATATGAGAATTGGTTGCTTTAAGACCATGTTCAACTGCTCTGCCTCATCGTTAACATGATAAATGCTAGTCCACTACACTTGCATTAAACGCAATTATCCAATGATTAATGCAATCCAAACAGTCTTTAGCAATCTAAATATTGAAAACACCAACATTGCGATGTCATTTTCTACAACTCTGTGTGTGACATGCCTTTGTATTCAGTTTCCTGAACCCTGACATTCCCTCAGGACACAGGCTCATGAAGCCTGACACAAAGGTTCCCTCTGTCAAACATGGTGGTGGCAGCATCATAGTGAGGGGTTTCTTTCATTCAGCAGTGACAGGAAAGCAGGTCAGGTTACACTTATATACAAAGCAGTCCTTGAAGATAACCTGTTAGAAGCTCCACAAGACTTAAGACATGGGGCTTGGCGTCACCTTCCACCAGGAGAACAACCTTTAAACATACAGCCAGAGTTACAATGGGACGGGATAGAACGGAGCTAATCTAGTGGACCTGACCTGAAACTAATAAGGAATATGGAATAAAACTTTAATAGATATTAAGAAAGGGTTTTTAGTACTGATCTGCTTCACCTTGAGCCGTTCAGCAGAGCAGAATGTGCAACAATTATGCACAAAATTTAAGTTAAGCTGGTTCTACGAAGTGTTGACTCAACAAATAATACTGTCTAGAAAAAATATCAATTGTCTGTAAACGATCTCATCAGTTACCATTTTTTGGAGGAGTGGGCCTAGAAGAAAACCAGCTCATACTGCCATAGCATGCTGCTGCCTATATGTTATTAAATCGCTTATTGAAAGAATTCAAAATAATATCAGTGAGGTTAGGAAGCTCCCAGGGAGGTGAGCTTTATTCATAAAAAAAAAAAAATGGAGGAATCAGATGTTCTAACTTGTCTGTTGTTGAATGTATGATGCAAAGTGTGCAGGCAGTTTGTAAGGCATCCTTCTAGTTAGAAGAATTTTGAGTTTTTTTACTTTTTAAAAAAACGTGGCTATTTTTTTTACAACAAAAACACTTAACGTAATAAATATGCAATAACTCAGAATTTACACCACAACACATTATTTAATATAATAAAAGGATAAAATAATCAAATAGCGTAAATAATTTTACAAGGCATTGCACTCAGTTAAATAAATTTTCTCTTTTGGATGAGGGGTGGAGCAGCAAGGATTACATTTTTATTTTTTATCTTCGATTCCTTGATTTTAATGCCAAGTCCGCCATGCAGAGGCAGAGGCTGCCCAATATCAGCGAAGAAGAATCCACAGCAGTGTTTGTGAAACCATCTGATGCAGCATTTGAAAGTGAATGTTAACGTTAATTAAGGAAATGACCAATCGGCTATCTGGCTAACATGATCAAACATGAGCAACCTCGTCTTTGACCTGCTGCTCCTGTGCTGTGCTAAAGTTGGTTCCCTGAGGAATTGGTTCCTCCTCTATAATCCCAGCACAGCCTCTACAGGGAGAGCAAAGCTTTTTTTTGTACTTTCTTCCTCTTACTTTATTTCTTAGCTGATGCCCGCCTCGTTTCCTATGCTTCCTGGATAGAATGAAAAGAAATTGAATGTAGAACTGCTGAACTTATGAATTAATCAATCCCCAGTCAGACTAATTACTTCTTTTTCAAAAAACTGAGCGAAAGTCTGGCTGCCATCCAATTAAAGCCTGTTTTGTGGTTGATTAGCCAGATGACTGAGAATTTACCAGGCAATAAATAAAATTAAACAGTTTTCTTAATAGACAATTATATACCATAAAACCTACAGCATGGGCAAATGTGTTTTATTTAAGGTGTTATACAGTAAAGCTCCATGTAAAAATGTAACTGTGAAGAAGGATTCATAGGATTATATTGGAGCTTATAGGTTTGAGATGTATATACTGGCTGAAAGCAACTATATGATAATTTATAGTAGCGTTTTAGAAGTTAGTTTAGACCATTTCATCCAGACAGAAGTCTGTCAGCCAGCTCATTTATAACATGTTAAGTAATATAATTATTTTTCTTAAAAGAATAGGAATGGAGAAGAACCAGAATTGTTCAAATTCAAACAATGACCAACCCTTCTTGGCTGGGGGCCTCTCTGAACCAAATCGACAAAGGTACTTACGGGCTCACGTTCTTGGGAAGCTGGAAGCCCTGAGCCAGTGACTGGGGGTTGATCGGCGGAGGCTGGGGGCGAAGGGCAGGGAGCGCTGGCTGCTGAGCACCCTGTGCAGGAGACTGGATCACGCCATTCAGCCCGCCGAGCACGCCGTTCATGTTCAGCTGGGGACTCCCTGTGATGGACGCCATGAGCCCACCCACCACTGGCAGAGTGGTGCTGCCTGACTGACTGATGCCGGCCAGACTGTCTGTCGCCCCTCTGCTCAAACCGTTCAGCAGCGGCTGGCCAAGAGAGGCGGGGCTCGGCTGAGGAGGAGGGGTTCCCTGGAAGGAGAGCGAGGAACTGCTACGGGACGGGCTGCCGGAGTGAAGCTCCTGGATCAACAAAACAAAGAACACCTTTTAGCTGTTTATTACACCTTAATGTGTCATTAAATAAACACAAGCAGTAGAGAGCTCCTTCTAAAACAATTTATAGAAACATAAAAAGGGGCTTGTTATTAAACTCCTGGTGAGTTTGACATAAAAAAGGAGACAGTTTTTTACCTCTGATGAAGTAACAAAGGAGGAGTCATTCAGGAAGCAGCTTTTGGACAGAGGACTCTTATTGGTGCTCAAGGGGTCTAAAGAAATGAGAGGCATATTTACAGTGCAGAGCTGCAGCTAAAACCAGTTAGAACAGCATCATCTCAGTTCAGTCTAATGATGTTAACACACTGATGCTGTTAAATGAAAGTGGTAGTGTACGAAACGGCTACCCAGACATAAAGATGTGAAAGTAGGTGTCAGAGGTGAAGATACTAACCTTGAGAGGATGACAGAAAGCTGATCTGTGCGGATGAGTGCAGGCCCGGTCCGGAGAGAATATGGGGCTGAAAAGGAGAGGCCAGCTCTGTGTTGAGCAACTGCAGCCGCTCCCTTTTAGCCGTCAGGCTGAGGATCTGGTCCTGTAGGCGCTGGTTCTCCTGCTGCAGCGAGTGCAGTGACTTTAACATCTCCACAACTGGAATAGGGAGAGAAAAGAAGGAGAATCAAAGTCTATCATGTATAACATAGAGTGTGTTCATCTGGGGAAAGAACAGCATGAAGAAAAAAATTATTAAACAGTGAGAAGAAAGCAAAAAAAAAAAAAAATCTGTAAAACGAGGGTTTCTTCTTATTCAAGCTAGCAGGTCTTAGGAAGGTAATTTTTTATGCAGAGCTGCTGTTTGAACTCGGGGCCAAGTTCAGTGTATTCAATTCACTGTAATTTTATCATCTGTATTCCGAGTAAACCATGAGGTGCATCTTTTAACAATGTGCAGGGCTTGGAGAAATGTGTTTGACACCATGCACATTATTATGCTGATCAAATAAATCTAGCTTTTTTTTTACCTTATAATCCTGATCACCTGTTACTGGAAAAGAAATGGTACAAGTTGTTGCTGCAGATTCCATTGAATCTGTGTAATTTAATGTGCTTTGCACAGCATACTTAGAAACATTAGTCATTGAATTTTACATAATTCAACACAAATTAGCAGGAAAATGTAAACCTTTTTTTTGCAAGTCTCCATATGACTAATTGAAACTGTGCTTTTGTGTGATTTTTTACCTACAGTGCAAAAAAGAAAAAAAAAAAAAAAAAAGTTTTTGACATTAAACCAGACCTCCTTGTTTAGGTCTGATAGTAAAACTACTATTTTCTGTAGAATATTGTCTTTAAAGAGTTTTCCAAGATGATGTACTGGCTTTGTAAGCTTCTAATGGTATATTTCAAAACATCTGAATTAACTGGAGGCACATCTGAGAATAAAAATGAACTCTAACGCTTCCCTGTGTGACTAAATGGGATAATGTAAAGAAAGAATAAGGTCATTTATAAGGAAGAGAACTGTGGACTGTCACCAGTCTGGTCCATTCATGGGCTTATAATGATCCAGATTCCTGAAGGTGGCACATTTATCTAGTAAAACAAGTACAAACAGCATCCAGCCATCATATCTGTCCAGGAGGGAGACAGACTCAGGTACCTAGAGATGATGGTTTCAGTTTGAAATGTGCAAACCTTCTGTTTTTTTTTTTTGACCAAAGAAGAGATTAAAGTAAAAAAAACCTTTCAAAATAGCAAAGAGGGGAAACGACCTGTACCCATCTAAAGTCTATCCTCAACAGTATGTTGTAAAAAAGAAAATTTACAAAAAAAGGAAAAAAAATGAACAACTTATTCTTTTTAATCCCTGAAATAACTTGTGATAAATGTGTTTATTAACTCAAAGGAAAGAGGTAACAACAGGCTCATTAAACACTTTGTTACTATAATAAGAAAAAAACAAAGAAACTAATAACAGTGTAAATCTAAAGTTCAAAACCACAACGTTTTCATCAAAACTAGGGCTGCAACAACGAATCGATAAAATCGATAAAAATCGACATCCCAACCCCGTTCTCCCGCTCCCGCATGAGTCCCTCTCAGCGCTGCAGTCAGAGCCGCAGGATGTTTACCCTCAGCGTCCAGACTGACGGCGCAAATTGATCACAATAATTAAAATAGCCTGCGCTTTGTAAAGTGAAAAAAGTCGTAACATGCAACTTTTGTGAAAACAAATTAACATGGCACGGAACCACCATGTTTGTTTGGTTTTAAAGTGGGGAAACGTAATGTTAAGTTTCTCAGGTAGCTCATCTGATTCTTTCCTTACCGT